CTGGCTGTGTTGTCAGGGAGCTGCTTGATGAGGTCACTTGTCTGCCTGTGGAAGCACTACTGGGTTTCTAGAGACTCTTTCAGGTTACTAGGGAAGCTTCTTTTGTCTTTTTTGTTTATACTGGGAGATTAGGCCCGCCTCTCCCGCTGTAGGCACTGCTGGGTTGTCAAGAAGGCTGTCACGTTGCTGTGTAGGCTTCCTGTGTTTTTTGTTAAAACATGTAGCCCAGTCCCACCCCTAAAGTGGTGGGTTGTGCCCTTCCTCCACTGGATTGGATCATTCAGGGTTCATCTCAGACTGTGGCACTGGCTGTGCAACCCACTAGGGTCAGAGCTTCAGCCCTCTGGGGTTTGTTGGGGAGGATAGGGACCCGCCCAGCCAAACCCAGCCATCTCCCCCTTTTAGCTTCCTCTCTCTCTCTGGTCATGGGGTAGGGGCCCGCCCAGATGCTGCTGCTTACAGATCCCTCTCTCTCTGGGCAGAGGGAGGGAGCAATAGCTCAGTCTGAAGTCTCTTATTCAGCTCCGTGCTTGTAGTTCCCAGCGCTTGACTGGCAAAGATCCCCTGTTCTATGTATTGCTGAGGCTTTAGGGAAGTGCTGTATCTGGACTGGAGTGCCAGAGGGGGAGCCTCCGACTCGCCAGTCAGATGCACTTTCTGGGTGAAGCAGTGCCCCTCCCACCTCGGTCTGCCCTGAATGGGCTTTGCTCGCCACGGGACCAGACCCATTGAAATGCACCTGGTACCTCGGTTGGAGCTAGATCTCTGGATTTCTGCATCTCTCTCACTAGGTGTTATGCACTGGAGTTGTGTCTAATTGGCCATCGTGGATCCTCTCCATTTTAAACTTTTAAATAATTTTATCAGAATAATGCATTTTTATCAAATGCATACATAAAGTATCAAATACAATGGAAGTTATTTTTACTGGCCTCCTATGTGATTTGCCTGATTGAGCAGCTCTCTCCCTTCCCTTAGTATATCCTACTGACTGATGCTCAGAGCCAGTTCAGGACCATGTGCTTTCTAGCCCACCTGCAAACTCCTGATCCCTCTTGTGAAGATATATGTGGACCAAGAGTCAGTGGTGTTTGTCCCCAGATCTGCTGTGCCAGTTTCGCTTATTCATGTAATTATTCAATGATTATTATGTAAATCAATGACATATGGATGTGTAAAAGAGAATTGCTGTTTCTATTAAAATGTTTTGTAAAGACTCAATAAAGTTGAGTTACTAAAAGGCTATAGAATTATATATGAGCAAGATAGTGGTAAAATATTGGGGAAAACTTAAATCTAAAAGGATTCTGCTTTGTGCCTTTAAGTGTTCAAACTACTTTAATGAAACAGAAACTGAGAAATATGCATGATGATTATGGGTGTAGTTTATGTAAGAAAATGAAGAACTGGAAATATCTGGCTATATTCTATATGCAGAAACCCTGGTAGTATTCCCATGGGATTCTTATGATATCAAATTTGGTAAGGTTCACATAGTGCACTCAGCAGCATGTCTGATATTTAATAAGCATTCAATCCATGTTAGCTGTTATTGTGGTTATTATTGATTTAATAATTGTGGATCCAGGCAATTTTGAAACAAAAGCAAAAAAAAAAAAGGCAAGGTGAGAACAAATCAATATTTCAAAAGAAAATATTGGGAATAAACTTTTAACTCCAGCAACCCAAGGGCCTAAACTTCACTGTGATGATTTTTTTCTTTGCATCCAAATATCTGTGTATCAAATTAAGAGTATATTGATAATCAGATATCTACAAGGTTAGCTGAAAAAAACAAATCCTGATTCATTATTGAAAATAAGGCCTTGGCATTCCAAATGTAACCCTATTTCAATTTTAACAACAAACTGCCACATAGCCTTAGGAAGCTGTCTAACCTTTTTCTATTCTTATATTCTCAGCTAGATAAGGATGATAACAAACAGCTAAATTAATTTATCACATGGCCAGAGGAATGATTTTGAATTATTTGAGAAAAGTACCCTATGATTGTGTTTGCATTCTCTCACTTGAGTGTGAGCTCTACCTGGCTCAATGCTGTGCAAAGCTCTTCAACTCAGGTTAAGGATCAGTGAAATGCTAATTTTTTTAAAAATTAAATTTTCATCAAAGCTCTAGACCTATTCACTTATTATGATGTTTAGGCCAAGTTTCAACAGCTAAAACATGCTTCACCACAAAAAAATAATAAAGATCAGAATTAGTTATAGGATGAAAGAGAAAGATTCAATTTTATTTGATTATCTATGCCACTAGATTATGTCTTAATTCTTTTTCAATCTTGGAAACACAATATAAGAACAGATATACTGGATATGAGGTTTAAACTCATTAATTTTAGTGGCTCTGCCCAAACCCAATTAATTTCAGTTTGTGAAGTAATCCCCATTGTTGGGGTTTCAAGTTATTTTCATAGTTGACCATGGAAGATGCATAGCTATTTAATATATGATATTGTAGCTAGTCAGTCAGTCTATATTGATTGTATGGACTGAGCCCAACATCCTACATGTTTATTATGTACAAATATAGAGAGAAATCACAATAATGTAGAAGATATAGTTAAAACCTTTAAAGAGCTATAGACTCTATTACTATTATTGGAAGGTAGAAGAGGACACTTTTATTTAGGAGACAATTCAAAAGATCAAAATAAATTTTATTTATTTCCCTACCTATCATTTAACCTAACCTTAAAGAAATATGTCTTTCAAAAATTTAAGTTAATTCAATATATATTTATGCATAAGACTAAACTAGATTCAGAGAAGTTAAAAAGAAGAACAGACTGGATCATCCCAGTGTTCAATAAGTTTACTAGAGTGGGGGAGACAGGCATTTGTCTAATTAGTATACTTCCAACCATGATGTGTGGAGAGACAAACTAGACCAGGGTAGAATTGCCAATACCTGAGTGTACTCTCATTGTAATTTCCTAATATTAGGTTTCCAGACACCCTTAAGAAATTGCTAGATTTGCACAACCTTCATATTGGAGCCATCATGGAAATGGAGAAAGAGACTTTTATATTCACATTGTTTAAGGAAATGACTTCATCATTAAAAGTCAGATAGCTTAAAAGCAATGTCTGATGAGAACAATCTCTCATACAATCAGTAAGCAACTTTCCAGAATATCATAAGGTATAAAAAAGCACATGCATTTGACGTTTTGAATAACCAGCTTTTCCACACTTATTTAATTTTAATTTCCTTCCTTGATTCACTGACAGCCTACATAAATAATGATAATAAGCCAGATAAAATCAATTTTGTATGGAGGAAGATTTTGAGTTCTAGTCTAAACAATGTTCTTATCACTAAGCCATCACAGTGTGACCTTAATCACACTACCATTACCTGGGTGAACAGGTAAATATAGAGTTGCAATTACAATAAAGTGGGTTGGAGCAAAGCATTACACATCCAGGTCCAGCCCCAGGGGATCAGCTGTACTGAAGGACCTGTAACTTACTGATGAGCTGTATAAATGACTCATAAATACCTGCATCCAAAATACAGATATTGCTAAATCAAGTAGAATAGCCAATACCTTATACCAAGAAGTTCGTAACAATAAAATTCAAAATGCCTTGGATATATGTTTTAAATCATTCTAAAAATAGAATAGCATATCATTAATGCAAATATAAACTGGTATTTTTTGGCACACATGAAATTTGCTAAAAAATAATTTAAAAGACAAGTGCCAGCAAGATTTTTATCTTAATTAGGGTTAACAGAGCAATATTATAAATGAGTCACACTAGGCAATTTAAGTGGGGCAGCATAGAAAGACAGACAATTAATCCTACCATTATTTAAGCCACACCATCCTTGAGTATTCATTCAAGTTTTAGTCAACATATTTTGAAAGATATTTTTTAAAAGGCATGCAGAGAGCAAAGTATTACCTATATATTTATAAACTATAGAATAGAATATGTTAATATATGTAAATGTATTATATAATATATATTTCATTATAGTTATATATTATGTAAAATATATGGTATGCCATACATTATATATGTTACAATATGTTGTATTATATATAATATATGTTTCATATATACACATATTTATATATATAAAATGTCATTTAAGGAAAGAAATGGAACCATGTAACCCAAAAAGCAAAAAACTAGGTAGTCAGGTAATTGCATTCTTACGGCTTTGCAAAATTGTTCTCAGAATGAGCTGAGGCTCTCTGCTCCCTATAGGTGACTGAGTCAGAAGAAATATACTTTGTTACAATAGGCTGACTTCATATGGCAAAAAGAGGCCCTTGATAATCACCATGAAAAATAATTGGTTTAAGGAAAACCTCAAGATTTCTTTCTTACAGCTGTTTACTACAGAATAAACTATCATTAGTTCTGGATAATTTAAATATCTATAAGGTTGCTTCCCTCAGAGCCCTCTTCTTTTATCCTAGCTTCCTGTTCATCTACTCTTCCAAGTTTCCCAAACTAAGGCATCCAACAATAGGCCGCTAATACTCAATGCCAGGAGCTCCACATGGCATCTCCATCTCAATTTCACCCAAAGACATTGAGCCCAAGTACTCAGTTTACACAAAGATTTTATTAATAAGTGAAAACACCATTGTATATTAGCACATTGATCTGTTATGGGGTGGAATGCTGAGACTCAAAGGAAATCATCTTCCTTGTGATGCTCATTTTCCAATTCTACCCACCCCTGAGTCTCCAGCTCCATCTCCCTCCCACAAAGAGTACAGGCTCAAAGCCCATCAAATTTTGATGGTAATGCCAGATTTCCTAATAAGTGACACCAAGCTTAATCAGGCCAGAAACACAAAAGATGACACATTTATTTCATGACCTTCTCCCTTCCCATAATTTTCCTTGTTACAAATAAAATATTAGAAACTTTGAGGCATCTTTGTGTAGAATTTTTGTAAATGTCTTTGGATGTGATAGTAATATATGAATTTCTCTCCTCTTCTTTTTCAGGATGGGAACCAGTGAAGTACTTGCGGACTGTACCCAGAATCAGTGAGTAACTTCTTCATAATGTTTGAGTCTTGGGTAGTTATAGATAAGCAGAGCAATGAGTAGAAAATCTGAAAACCTCATTGTGTTGCTTTTAAGTACCTGTTCTGGTGATGATAACCATCCCTAGAAAGAACAGCCTAGGTGGCATTGTTGGAGTGCGTAAAGTCTTGAAGGGTGGGAATAAAAACAAGCAAACTATCATCCTTGTCCTCAAGGAATGTACAAAGGAAACTAAAGCCTCTGAAGATTGATTTCAGTTATATATAGGTTGTTGTTTACCTTATTTGAAAAAGTTTACATATTTTTCTATTTTTATTTTTAAAGTAACACTTTCCTGGCACATTGCACAATAGTCTATTTTTTTAATGTCTTCCTCTCTGAATAGAGTAAAACCTCATTCATTCAGATACTGGTAATATACCATTGACAATTTGATCTAGACTAAATTGAAATTTAGCTTTGAATTGTCTGCAAGGAATGGATTTGCTAAGTGGAATGAAATATTTGTAATCAATGTAAAAAGAATACATTGTTTTCATGGCTTTAGCATACAGTGGTCTTTAGGCAAAAAGATTCAGCTGTAAAATAAGGATTATTAAGGTCACTAAGTAGATGTCCCCTTAGACAGACATTACTGGCAGATAGTAATATTGAAAGTGATAAAACAATGTTGCTTTCAATAAATTCTGACTTCTCTAATTCAGGCTAGATCTTCCTCTACTCTTTTCCAATCTAATTATTCTAATCGAATGAAGTTTACTGTTGTGTAGTATGTGGATGAAGTATTTAGTAAAAGAAGATCAATTCTTATTATCTTAAAAATCTAAATCTATAAATATAAATTTTAATTTTCAGATGCTTATCTGTAATGTTGATCACCTAGATGACAGAAGTGTATTTACAAGAAAAATGATGTATTATTCCATTTTCTTTTTCATGATCTCATATGGAAATTTTTTTTTTTTTTCATTTAAAACTCAACATTTTTGCAAAGCAAGAAAGTCAGATTCCCAGGGTGATAGCAAAGATTTGAGGTGAGGAAAAAAAGCAAAATCAGATCATGCCCTCCTTGTAGTAAGTTGACAAATTGAAGTAGTAACTGAGTCACCATTCATTTATGTATTTCTTTATTCATTCAACAAACACTTAGCCAAGGGCCATGCTTATTGCATCAAAGGATGTAGAGATAAATAAAATTATCTTCTTGTCTTTGTTATGCTGGTATCTGATAAGTTGAGACAGAGATGGAGACAAATGACTTTCTCATGTGATAAGCAATGTGTTATCCCAATAAACAGAGTACTTCAGAAATGCACAGAATACACCATGATATCAAACAGTAAGAGTTGGGAAAATATTAGGTAATAGTTACCACACTTGAACTGATTCTTAAAGAATGAACAGAATTTCTACAAGTAGAGAAAAGGAAGGACAGCCTTTCAGGCAGTACAAGCAAAAGCCTGGAGACATCAAAGGACACATATTGCTCAAGTAAAACAACATAGACAGAGTTAGTTGTAGAAAGCTGAGGAAAAGTGGGAGTAGCATATGGTCTATACATAAAGGTATATTGCTAGGAAAAGATGCTTTTTAAGTCGTCAAAGACAACAACTGGAGTTCAGAGAGAGAAGGATTTGAGAGTCATTTGCATAGAGTTGAAATATGAAGACATGGAAATAAATAAGATCACTCAAGGGCACAGGAGAGAACTTTTAGGAATACAGAATCAGCTTCTTCCTGAGACAGGAGAAAAGGATGGGTGGGGAAAAACTAAGATCAGTTTAAAGATGGGTATAAAGAAATTTGAGGAACTTTATGTCTGAAAGCCTCCACTTTCTTGCCACTATACTGTGAGTAAGCATGGGATGTAGTATAGGAGGACACAAGTTCGAAACCTAATTCAGCCACCTGTGAACAATGCAACATGGGGGGGTCATATAACCCCTGTAAATTTCCATTTTTCCATCTGTGAAATGGAGGAAATAATAACATGTAATTCATAGGTCAGAGAACTTTATAACACATGTGGAAGCACTTTATAAACTAAAATACACTTGGCCAGAACACATACTGGATAAGTCACTGAGCTCTTGTTTATTAAACAGGGATAAGCTGGGCATGGGGGCATGTGCCTGTCATCCCAGCTACTCAGGAGGCTGAAGTGGGGGGATTGCTTGAGACCATGAGTTCAAGATTGTAGTGTGTGATGATTATTGTACCTGTAAACAACCATGCAGTCCACTCTGGGCAACACAGTGAGATCCTATCTCTAAAAAAATCAAATAAAATAAGGATAACAGCACATAGCTTACATGGGTTACTGAAGACATTAAAGATAAAATATGCACCAAGTGTGCTTTTCTGTGAATAAGAGCTTGTCTCTTGGGAAAGAAAAAAACTGCAATGGGGAAACAAGACAAGAAAGAGACATGGAAAAATGTTTTTGAGCAGAATTAAAAGCCCATCCTGAAAATGTGGGTTTGCAGGGACAGCCACACCTATGTGCTCTGGAGCAGCTGAAATGAATGAGTTGATGGTCTGGGGTTGAGGTAGATCAAAGCAGGAATACTAGTGGCTGAAAGCAAGTGCCATTGAGGAGACAATTGGAGAGGTTGGCCAATGCAGATCCCAGAATTTTAGAGGCCCTGTTCTCTGACCTCAGCCCTGGTTTGGCCCTTTCTATTCAGAGTCCGCAGCCTGTAATCCTATGACTTGTTGTTGTCAAGAAAGTCAGTGGCTTACACAAAAGATTGAGCATCCAGATCTCTCCAAGGTTATATGTTCTAACCATCAGCTAAGCTCCAGCCCTGACACTACTGCTCAGAGTAGGACAGTGGCCAGCCAGACCCCTGCCTGACCCTCCTACCCTCTCACCTCCCACCCTTGGCTCATATCCCAACTACATCCTATTCCCAGCCTCCTCTTCCACTTGAACTTTCATTCTTCCCTAGCACATAAGGTAGTAAAAAAGCTGTCTACCTCCTCTGGAATGGAAAAGTAAAGTTTGGCCAACTGTTAATAAAAAGGAGCCAGACTGCATGCTACCTACCCCTCATACCTTTAGCACCAAGTTTAAACCTCATTCCAGAATTGGCTGGTTGCAACAGGCAAGACTGCACTTCCTCCCACACGTGGAAGTAAGTTATCTCACCATCCACTAGGAAAATGTTCGATGTCCTCTTAAAATGTTTAGTGAGCCTTGGGGACCCCAAGAGAGAGTTGCCAAGATCTATCTTGATAGTTATACTAAACTTACCTCTGAGAGAGATTTGAACTGCTAGAGCTTTCATCCTCAATTTGCCAAATGGCAGTAATAAAGGAAATATAGGCTATCTCTTGCACATTATTGACTTCTATTTTAATTAATGTAAGACACATTCCTCATTTGGGAACATGATTGATTCACTCAGTCAGTGGTTATTCATTAAGGATATACCAAATGCAAGGTGCTAGCTCCTAGTCAAGATCTTTGGAAATAATGAATATAAACAGCTCCCATGAATAATATTTGAAACATCAGGAAAAACCTATCCAATTAAACAAAATTCCAGGTTCCCATGAAAAGACAATTCCTAAGATTAATTAAGGATTGAGAAACCCAGAGCATTTTCTTCTCTCTTTTCAGCCTTGGCTCCCAAAGCCCACTCTTCTGTGATTACCAACATGAATCACATGAAATTTACCTCCAAGCACCTTGTTTCCTGTACATTTCTTTCAGTCTGCTGTGGTAACTTGCTAATGTGGAGATTGCCCCAGGACACCTTAACACCCCTAACCCCACAGGTGGGACTTCCCTACACAGCATAAGCCACACTAAAGTGCAGCCCTGCCTTTCCCAGGGTACGAAGCATCAAATAATGTGTCTCCTAATACAATTTCAGACAGGGTACTCTCTCCCATTCCACAAAAGCACATCCATCCTTTCTCCAAGGTGCTTTAATCTAATTTCATGCCAGCCAGCCCCCCAGTGCCCTCTACAACTCCTTTTATTTCTGCCTGGTGCATACACAGTCTTCATTCTAGATCTGCTCAAGAAAGCAACTCACATCTCATTAAAAACAAATGCAAAGACAAACATCTATTCATTTTATTTCTTTAACCCTAATTACACCCTCCTTCTGGTTCCTCCTGTAATCACCTTGACTCCCATTTCCGGGTTTTTTGTGTATGCTCTTCTTTACTCTTATTTCTATCCTTTACACATCTTACAGGTTTTAGTAACCCTTGGAATATGGCCTTCGGGTTTATTTCCCACTTAGAAGAACACAAGACTCATTCATTCAGTGGCAAAGCCAACATTAGGGAAAGGTGAGCAGTGGCATGTCATTAACATGTTTTTCTCATTTTTTTGCCATGTAGTGAAACAGTGTTCGATTTGGACCAGTTCAGTGGGTCCTTGACAGCAACAATACAGCCCAGACTAGCATTTCAGATTTGGAGACCTTGATAAAGTGTCCAAAGCAGAGTCTAAAACTTGACTCTTCTGATTCTGACTGGTATACATCCCTAGGCCTCCATTTACAGGGACTGAAAGATAATACCTTTCTCTATTTTGTAAGTGGAGAGTAATTCAAAATCATTTCTTAGGGTCATTGAACTGAGAAATGTTCCTTGGAATTTCATGAAGAAAATCTTGAGACAGGGTTTATGTACCAGCAAAAGGATACACATATTCAAGGGTAATACATTTTTACATATTGATAGCATACTCTCTCTTGGAGTAGAGGGCTGCTTTTGTGCCAAGCTGCAATGCCATGTGATTTTAAAGCTAGAATTGCTCCTCTCAGGCTACTGCAGGTCCACACACCCACACTTGGTCTCCTAGAGCTTTGCATTTGATAGGCACATTCCTGGACACAGTTCCTGAAAATGACTATTGTTTACCTGTACTCAGTATCCTTGCACTCATTTGGCAAAGGAGGGAGGTGCATCATATTCACAGGCGCTACCGACGGCAGAGAGACAGCTGCCATACATAAGTCAAGACTCCAGCTTCACAC